GTAACGACTTGAAGTTGTTGCGGTTTTGTGCAAACAACACAATGTCTATTATGAACAACCTGACTCTCGAAGGGAGTAGCAGTATATCTGGTAGAGCGAAGCATGTGTACAGAAGTCTGTCCATGATCGATTTAATAATCATATCGTCTGACTAAAGACGTTTTATAATGGATTTTCGAGTGACGACAGGCTGCCAACCGATCACTGTCTTGTTGTTGGCATTGTCCGCTTTAAATGAAGGAGATAAAGAATCAAATGGGAAACATTATCTTCTGCGGAAAGGATGGAAAAACTAGCAAACGACATCGCTACCATCCCTTATATTTACCAAAGGCAGCTGCGTAATCATGTCATCATATCAACTGCCCCTAAATCAATGATTCGAATTCAGAACTAGCTGATCATAGAACACATTTCAGGCGATGGAGGTGACGTTTTATGGAGAAGACCAAGAAAGCGTAGGAAGAACACAACTGTTACTCCACGTGGATCGTCAGGATGAAAACAGTTCTGCGTGATAGTTTTTTAAAACCTCTGAATATCACGTTTCTGGACAGTGGATGGCATTTGTCATTGTCGATTATGAATCTATAATGAAAGTAAATTCAGCAAAGTAGAAAACATTTAATGCCTCGAGAGAAACATTGTTTCTGCGATGTTGACGGAAAATGATAACAAACAGAAGTACGTAAGCAACTGAATATCAAAACTACAAGGCCATATCTTTAAAGCTGAAAAAGAGCAAGAAACGTCTCTAAACGAAACGCGCAGTGCTTTGTCATTCATCTGCCAGCTGCGCTCTGCAAATAAACGCTCTGCGTGAACTAGCCCGAACGGCTATGACTAAAACAGGGCTGAGTCTGAAGACTACGCTCTTGGTTACTAAGTCGATTTTCATCCCCATGATCACGTACGGTCATATGTTCTGGGCTATGACTGATAACCTTAGATTTCGATTACAAGCGCATGAAATGTGGTTTCTCCGGGTTTACGCATTTCCGGACAAGGTCTGGAGAACACATGTCGAAAAAGCCGTACGGTAGAGCCCCTGGGTGGTTTCAGCACGCATTGTGAATGATTTTATAAAGGAAGGCGAAGAAACTGCTACTTGCCCAAATTACCGGCAGAAGACCCAGCATACGGCCAAGACCAATCTAGAGTATAAACTTTGTTCTAGGTTCGGATTGTATTCTGCTGACCTCAAACACTGTGTCAGAATCGCGAGCGTTACAGACACTTTCTGACGCGTCTACCTGC